AGTCTTGTAGGACACTCTTGTGGGACACTCTTGTGGGACACTCTTGTACGACACTCTTGTGGGATACTCCTGTAGGACACTCTTAAGGGACACTCTTGTGAGACACTCTAGTGGGACACTGTTGCGGGACACTCTTCCAGCTCCCCAGATACTCCGCGTACTAAAGTTGTACTACAAGGTCGCCAGTTCTCAGCTTCCAGCTCCACAGAGACTCCACTCTCGCCTGCATTTCGCGCGCTCGACACGCACGATCTCCGCAGAGCGTTGCGCGGGCACCGGGCAAATCGCACTCTCGCCTGCATTTCGCGCCCTCGACACGCACGATCTCCGCAAAGGTTGCGCGGGCACCGGACAAATCTCGACACGCATGATCTCCGCAGAGGGTTGCGCGCGCATGGGACAAATCGCACTCTCGCCTGCATTTCGCGCACTCGACACGCACGATCTCCGCAGAGGGTTGCGCGCGCATGGCTGGGACAAATCGCACTCTCGCCTGCGTTTCGCACACTCGACACGCGCGATCTCCGCAGAGGGTTGCGCGTCAAGTCTCCAAAACGAGCGTTTCGTACGAGACTTCCTCAAAAACTCACACGTCAAAGTCTGCCAAACGAGCGTTTCGTACGAGACTTCCTCCAAAAGTCAAGCGGAAACACCCATCGGAGCACACACATCACGCAGCCCTGCCAACGCCACGCAGCCATTAACAAATGGATGTCCGCCTTTGACAATGCCATTCAGGCATCCGCTCAAGACATTGTCCGCATTCTGCAAACTACCAAGCGCGCCCAGGACCAACTGCGGGAAGCTGCCACACGGTAAGGCCTCCCTCTCGCCAAACTCAACAAAGCACCTCTTAAAGCCCTCCAAAACCTGGTTAGCATTGGAGCAGCACTCACCTGCTGACTCAGCCTTCAAGCACAAACCGCTCCACACGTGTCTACTCTCATCGACAAAGCGACATACATTGAGCGAGCCAACGCAATTTTCGCCACTGGCCTTTTGCATCTCACTCTGCTTTTTGCCTATCCATCCAACACCCACCGTTCCCAACAATGGCGAAAGCGCTTTCGCCACCTCAACATGCTGCCACACACTTACCATTACCACCACTTCCTCGCCCCCAACTCAATCTACATCAAGCTCCAACTCAACCTTCACCTCACCCAAAGCTCCTGCCACCAACACGGACACGTCTACATCGGACCCACCGCCATCGGTACCCCACGTCGCGAACAAACCGCCGAGCCAAGCTCAAGCAACTCCAGAACAACATCCCCATCTCAGCAGAACTCTCCCTTCGCTACTGGCACACCCATGACACCATCGAGCAATTCACTACCATTCAGCTTTCCTCTCACAACACCTACGATCAAGCATCAAGCTCAATGCCCAAGGTTGGCAATTCACCAAGCACCACACCCATTTCCATCCCAGATTTGCCAACCATCGCCCACTCTTTCAACGCCTCCGCCGCAGACAGAACACTTTGCGGGAACCACACCTTTTCACATCCACCAAACATCACGCCCTCACCTTACTTCGCAACCCTACCAAACACACCAAAGACTCCTTCGAAGCAGCCAAGGAACTCCGGAGGGGCCGCCACACCGACCTCGAACTCTACGCCATCTGCCGAATGGCTTCCAATCTCGAGGAACCAGGGCGCACAAAAGCGCTTCAAATCATCCATAAAGCCATGCTTTATCGCAACCTCACACCACCCAGAGCAAGCGTTCCACTCACCATTCCGTTCCTGGCTCACGACAATTTCAACTACAACACCTCACCCACGCCATCCCCCTCCACTTTCCCACCTGCCGCCTGCGCGAAGCCGCACACAACACACTACGCCGCCAACTCCACAATCACCGCCAATGGGAAGAAGCACTTCCAATGCCAGCTGACCACACCGCCCTTCCATGTGCCTGCGCACATTTGAAATCCGTGCTGGTCGACCCCAATCACCCCACCACAGATGGCCACTATATTCTCACACACTCCGACCTCCTACTATCAGAGCACCTCCGCATTTTCCTTGACGCCTACATGAACAGTAGTTTCTTCCCCACCGAGAAACGATACTATGACACGTTCCGGAACGCCTTCCGGAAATGGCTCCGGACACACGGTTTCCCCCCATCCTTGATCCAGCATTCAGAAGCATACCTCAATCAACAATGGAAACAACACCTCCAACAACTTCATCAGCAACCCAGATTTACAGCACGACTCCTTCGCCAGCTCCAGGAATACTTGGGTGACCATGTGGTCCTGCACCACGCAGATCATGAACTCCAACTGCTTCGAGTTTTCTGTCCCCGGCAATATTTCCTTGGCGCCCTGACCACCTGGCGATCGCCAGCACTCTTCAAGCCCATGCCCCACCTCACCACAGACAACATCAGCGAACATCTCCAAGCCACAGTTCCCACCATCCTACGCACACGCTACAAATGGGGTTTTCGCAAAGCCTTCACTATTCTGTCACCGGCCCTCTGCAACGTAGCCATCACTCTCATTGAACACGCCTGGCACCAGCTCCACAACAACCTTCTCAATCACACCAACCTCCACTTCAACTACTACCGTTATGTTGACAACCGCTTCATCACCCACAACGAGCATTTCCTAACACACCCAGCCATCCAAACCCTCATCCATCAAGATTTCTTCGGCGACCCCATTGAACTTGAAACGGTGGAAGGCTTTCACCTCCTTGGTTTCAACATCGGCCTCCCCACTTGCACAATTTCCTACATCCAGCCCTCCCAGTCATGGCAGCCAACGAGTGGCCCTCTCAGGCCTTGCATCCCGCATATACACACCATCTACAAATACACCTACCAGGCTGCCACGGCTGACGCCGCAGCTCAACACCTTATTGTCCTCTGCATCGCCAAAGGGCACCCTGCAGCGGAGTGCAGACTCTTTTTGGAGCACAAAAAGGGCGATCCAGCGCCGATGATCGGCACACTGTGTGTGCCACACTCCGTTTCTAGGAGTTCGTTTGTTTCTTCAGACAAGATCTGCAGGGGGCCACCTGGAGCAGAGATAGGGCAGGTGCCAACGAAGACACCTATCTCTTGCTCGTGATATCGACGGGAGACGTTCTGTCGACGTACCTGCTGAAGCAACTTTTGTACACGCTGTGACTCCATTTCTTTCCTTTTTTGCTTCCATGGTGGTTTACCATGATACTCCGCACAAACCCACTTTGCAGCCGCGTTTGCAAAGTGCCGCTTGTCCAGATCGTTTGATTGCACTTGCAAACAGTGTTGAAACATTCACCTCCGCGGACTCGACCACCTTTCCGTTCCATCACTCCTTCCTGCGTGGACTATGACATTGGATGAACCTGTATCTAAGTGATTTTTGTGTGGTGCCCACGACGCCCCCAAATCAGCGAGCACAGTGTGAGGTGAGGTGCATACTCAACCACATCAAATCAGTCAGAACTTGCAACCACTTCAAATTAAAGTCTGCTGCCAACAAATTGTTATTTCTGCAAAATTCTACTGGGGGAGAAGGAGAGCAAAATCCGCCTTGTCGGGACGCGAACCTTGTAGCAAGTCGTTGTACACAATCCGTGCTCGTGCACGGCCCAGTCTAAGCCGCGCCCTTTCTTCTACAATGGCTTTTGCTGAAATAGTGCCACTCTCCCACTTCTCTATTGCCTTGGAACTCAACGCCGCCAAATCAAAGAGTGAGAAGGCTTTCACATTCTTTGGCTGAAAAAAACCTAGCCGCCTTCCCCAAAGTGGCTTCCACCTCTTCAAAGATGTCAGCAGCACCTGGCTCATTCGGAGTGGTGGCCAGTTTGGCAAAGGCTCCTGCTATTTCGTAGAGCTCATCCTTGGTGGCCTCATTTCTCTAGACAGGAGTTGTTGAAACACTTGGAACCTTGGGACGGGTGAACGGGAAAATGAACGGCAGGCGTGGGTGGGGCTGTAAACTTTGCCCTGCAAATGCTTATATAAAACATGTCGTTTTTATATACCGTTATGCATGCCATAGTCTCAAACACACAGTAAAAAGTGCTCTGCATCACTTGCGTTCTCAATGCGCTGCTTCAAGCAGCGCAGTTGCGGATTACAAGGGCAAGAATGCTTATGCCTGTGCACGTGCAAGCGATCCACTGCGTAGTACTTTATGGTGGCACACGGTCATATGGACAAGACAAGAAGAAACTGGAAAAGGAGGCTCCCGGCTTAACGTCCCATCGGCGACCCGGACATTAAATAAAGTGTGCCTTCCAGAAGAACGCTGGTTGTGAGCCTAGTGGCTTTGCACCTCACCTTGCGCGAGACCCTGACACTATCTCTCTGACTCTAGCTTCCCCTCGCGGAATTTCGACCCCAGGGTACATACCCAGGGTTTGCAGTCTACAACGGGAAGAAACTATATAAAGAGGTAGACATCATGGTCTCATACAAGGGACGGTGCGCAGCCACTAGATCTGCAACCAGTGTTCTCTTCTGGAAGACGCACTCTATTGAAGGAGGACTATTTCTTTAGGCGTACTTTGCATAGATTAACTTCAAAGCATTTCTTGGTACAGACCCCAAACCTGGACTAGAGCTCTCCACGGAGTGCAGGTCTGTGCGTGCCGAGCCTGACCAAAAAATTGAAACAAAAAACAACAAGTAGTTTCTAGTAGTCTTGTGCCTGTGTTGGGAGTGGGCATCAAAGAGTCTGAGGAAACCAAAATTTGAAAATATATTCCAGAGTAGGGGGGCGACAGAGAGTCTCAGAATATATACAGTACATATATTGTATGTTTGTATGTTGTTTTTTTGGAATTAACATATGTTATGTAATTAAGTTACGATGTTCTATGCATACTACAAGTTCCAAGAAAAATTACAGCCCTAGGAGCGCCCCTTCCAAAGCCTTTCTGGAACAAATCAACCAAACACATGGCAAGTACAAATCTGCAACAGGCTGGATAGTGTCGTGTCTTCCGTACATGGCCCAAAAGTAATTCTCTGCTTGCTGACGCTACTGGTCGGGATTCAGCCAGTGCCGGTGAGGGAAGGCAGGCCAGCGCAAGCCACACCCGGCGTGGGATAAGTAGGGCCTGTGAGGATGGCTGGCTCAAAAAGCACGCATTGTCAGGAACCACATCTTTCCAGCCTGCCGAATGTCCGAAAGAAACGTAGCGCCCGGCAAAGAGGATGTTAGCACAAGAAGCACTAGCAATCCGAGTCGTTGAGAACCGCGCGTTCCCATTGCCAACCCAGCACATACAAGAGTAAAAGCAAGGATGATGAACTCAATTCCGACAAAGACTGAAGATCTTTGATGAACCCCAAGAAGCTATGCAAATCTGTGAAGCGTTTGGCACACCGCACCAGAAATCAAAGCGAGCCCTTGGATATCCATACCAACAAAGTGCCAACAATAGTGTGCAAGTGATTTGTTTGGATGTTCTTCACTAGGACAGCTAGGCAGAGCCAAAGGCTTCAGGCAAAGTGGTGCACACGTTCTGGCCTGCTCAGCCGCACGGCGCTGGGACTGAAAGTGACTTCTTAAGGCCGGTGCAAGTTCTGCAGCCTGACCGGAGGCAACAGCTGGACATCACGGCAAGTGCCTGGCAGATTGGCAAAGAACCAAGCGAGGGAGCCAAGCATAGAAAGCCACAAAATGATCAAACTCCAAATGCAACAAAGCAAGGCCTGCCACAATCCTTTCTCAAAAGAGGTCGCTGGCACAGCTGGTGCCTGCTGTGAACACTGCGTTGCAAATGGCTCTGGAACATTAAGACAGAAAGGATCAGAAAGAATCCTTTGAAAAAAGAACAATGTGTTTTTGTTTGGCAGTCCCGGCTCTATAGTGGTCGGTAGGCATCGACTTGAACGCATCTTTTGCTCGCTTGAGCATCCGCTCATGCCGCAGCCAGGCACGCAGTTGGCCTTTGCTTTCTTGCTGGAGATTCTGCCTAAGATATGCTCTAAGCAGGCAAGTTTTTGCTGAAGCTGTCAAGGCTAGCGCCTCGTCGCTCTGACGCTCAAACGCCGACAGTGCCGAGCATGCTGCCAGCACATCTCGTCCAAGCCACCCATCTTTGCTCTCTCTGAGCTTGCGGCTCCGAACACGGGCACCACAGGATGAACCAAACAGAAGGGTGTCCACTTGCCGCTTCCACTTCCGCAGCACCTGCATAGCCAGAGCATGATCCTTTACAAACTGTGGATCAAATTCTTCGACGGCTTGTTGTCCGTTTGGTGGCCGCCAAATCCCAACAAAATATGGTTCTTCTGCAACTTTTCGCAACACCCTGCAACTGTCACATGCAAAGGCTAGAATGCGCGAGTCCAGATCCGAACCCAAAAGATCGGAGCGGGACGGAGTTGTTGAATCCAAATGTCGAGACGAAGGCGCTGCAAGGCCGGCATTTAGCACCGGCATTTGCACCAAAAGAGTCAGAGACAAAGCCACTCCTGTTTGACCCTCCAACGGTCTGCGATGTGATCCGTAAAGCCATGCAACCTCTGCAAGCTCCTCAATCTGCCACACACTTCGAATGTATCCAGAACGGGGAAGAAGGGGCTTCCAATCTCTGGCATAGCCAGGCAGTCTTGGTAGTGGGCGACCTAGGATCAATTCAGTCACCATGGGCGCCAACATTGCAAACACCTCTGAAGACCAAATGCCACAGTCTCCTGCAGCCCGCAAAACTGCCAAGGGCTGCTTTAGTTGCGGCGCTTGTGGATGTGGTCCATCCCTTGCTGCCACAGCAGCTGCTCTCAGGAAGCGTTCTAACGCTGTCTTGGTCTCTTGCCACTCTCGATGGTTTCCCTCTCCCTCCGCGTTTCTGCTCACGCTCTCTATGTCCTCGTCCTTGGTTCGCCGCGTCGTTCTAGTCTTCTTGCGCCATTTAGCCAGCGAAGCAGCTGCACCACACATGGCTCGCAAGGTTTTGGGCGGGGCGCCTGCTTCCTGCAGAGCACAAGCTGCAAGCTCCAACAGCCGTGCAACTGAGCCTTCGGAGCTTTCCATTGAAGTGCGTGCCACCACCTGCAAAGGCTGAATAGACTCGTCCGGTAGCGACCCAACCAAGGAGGCCATGCCCTGCAACAAGACTGCCACATCACTGGGAGTCAGCACAGTCGCAACCTTCCAACCTGATAAGGGTCCAGCCACTAAAGCTTCCAATGTTTCTGCTGCTTCCAGGCAATCCGCCAAGCCAACCTTCTGAAGTGAGGCCAAGCTCTTCACAACCGAGCATGCATCACTTGGCGTTATTCTTGTACGGCTGAGCTGCCAGAGTAGTGCTGCAATAAAAGCCTGTGCTCTACTGCGGCTTCGATGCTTGCGTGGTCGGTTCCCTTCAGTCAAACGAAGATCTTGGCCAATACTCGCTCCAGCACCATCAGCCGCAGCGTAGCGCAAAGCCAGGACTAGCTGCCTCCCTCCCAAGCGGGACAAACTCCTCTCATAGTTCACCGGCAACATATGCCACAGCACAGGGACGGGTGGAGATGTGAGATACATCGGAGGGGATGTCGGTGTCACTTGCAAATTAGCCAATGTCAGGTCTTGCTGCGACTCGACATCAGGTGGGGCTTCAACCAGCTCCAAATCGCTGTCACTAGTCAAGCATGTAGTGATTGCGTCGGATTTTGAAGCTACTTCTGGCAAGCACTCCACTACCCAAAGAGGTGCTCGGTCTTGAAACTTCAAGAGCCTTTCTTCATCCTCATAGGACAGCAACGAGCTCTTCAAGCTTTCAGCTGCTCTTTCCCACACATGCAAGTGCTCATGATGCACCATTCCATGTTCGGCATAGTATTCCATCCACGGAATGACGATGCCTGGCGGAGCCTCGGCCAGAACAGGTGGCAAACTTCGCGTGAGCTTTTTGTGCAAGCGACCTGCCCAGCAGCCTTGCGCCCGCGGCTTGGAAATTGACAGTTGTAGCTGCAGGGTCCGGCAGCAATTCCTTCAACACGGGGAAGCTGAATGCAAAACGGGGTGAATGAAAACAACAAATTACAAAAAGCATGTAATTAACATACCATATCTAGCATAATGAAGCACATCTTGCCAAAAAAGAATGCATGTCAATTCCAAAGATCAGCAGGGGAAGCAGGTCTGCATGATCAGCTTGCGAGGCCTGTCTGGCCAAACCACGAACCAGCTTCCCCAGCGCAGAAACTTTTTTAAGGAGTCCCAAACGCTGAAGCTCTGGAAGTGCAAATGCTAAAGTTCGCAAGGGAAAATGTGCTCTCTCTGCTGCATTCACCAAAATACGTCGTGAAATTGATGACCAAAAATGAGCCGATGCCGTCTCGCTCAAACTGTGGATCTGCGCATGCAAGGCCGGCAGAGAAGGCCCCAATTGGCGGAGAGGCAACTTTCGCAAACGTCGACACAGCACCTGCAAATCAGCAGCTTTGACTGTAGTTTTGACGTTTAATGAAGCCGGGGCCGCGAGGGCCGCGAGGGCATCTCCAGAAAACGGAATGCCACCAGGCTTGGCGCCTCCCTGCTTTGTCGCGTTTGGGCTGTCTATGTTCCAGCGTTGTGTCCGGTGCGTCCGGTGCGTCATTACGTCTTCAACATGGGCTGATTGTGCGAGTATTGCTGTGTTCCGCGCTCGCCGCCGGGCCCAGCGAAGACTGACAGCCATGACTTCAGTGAATCCAACGCTCTTTGGTTCGCATGTCTACAGGAAGTGAGACAGACTTCAAAAAATAATTCTCGTGATGCGGATATGCCATTGTTGCAATCGTGAATAGGCTTCGCAATCGCTGTTGCTGTCGAGTGGTCATCATGATTTTGAAAAATCCAGAAGCAACTTAAACAGTCTAGCAGAAAATGTTTGATAGTCGTTGACAATGATAAGTCTGTCTTGCCTTCTTGAACTCAGGGGAAAGTAGGGGCCGTCGCTGCCTATTACCTAAAGCAGAACTAGCTGCAGCTCGCCATCCGACTCCATCCTGCTGCAGCCATTAGTTGCACGCTGGCGCACGCCTGTGCTGGCAGCCAACACCTGTACAAGAAGTGGCAATGGCAACCAACACCAAATGCAAAAGTAATGTGGACCCAGACGCCAAAATAGTCTATTTTTTCCTCTCTGCCTTACCAAGTTTACAGACTCATGTGCCCCAAGATGCGAAGTCTTTTCCACATGCATGCTCATGTTCATGTCTCTGCGGAAGTGCGGTGCCGTTCTCGCAAGCACTTGTGTAGGGCTCATTCCTTGTAGACAAACCTCAGGGCGTGCCACTGCACACACTTGCCTACTGGCCCTGATGCATTCAGAAAATCGAAACTGAAACTGCTATTTTTAAGAGCCGGGTGTTAGACGAAGTATGCCTTGCATTATCCCACTCCACCGGCGGTTTGTCCCCGCTGCCTGGGACTCAGGGGTGCGTCCATGAACTCTCCGAAGGTCAGTAATGAGTCACTTATATATATATATATATATTTTTTGTAAATTACAAAAAGCTCTCTCTCTCTCTCTCTCGCCGTTTAAGATGTGCAGCTCACTGGGACATCACATGTTCATGTTCCCTCTCGAAGACTCTTGTCAGCATGGCCTCCGTACTCTTGGATGAACTCTTCTAGCGTGTAGGCCTGCTACACTGGGCAGTGCGGACTGAAATTCATGACTGCATACACACCCCAAGTGAACCTTGCTGACTCTAGCCTCTGGCCGTGTTCACGACAAACAATTCCCACTCATATCGAATCACACTCTAGTGACGAGAAGGCTCCATTTCCAAGCACATCACAAAGGATGTCCGACCTGCCCGTCAGCTGGGTCAATTCTTCGCTCTACACCCTTCGCAAGGATTCGGGCCTCAAAACAGCAACTTCGCAAAGATTTGCACCCTCAAGTTGCAAGTTGCACAACTACCAACTGCCCAAATTATGTTGGGAACATATTTTACCTTGTGCCTCTGGTTGACCTGGATGCATCTGGATACCATATGTTTGGGACTATCTTCGGCGTTTTGGCTCCACTAACAGCAGAACGTCGCAGCGAAACGGCTGAAAGCAAGTACGGAACGATCCCCATGGACCACGACAGCTGCACAAAACACATTGTGCCAGCATAGACCCTAATCACTTTCAGCTTTTCAGTTTGCCGTATATTGGGGTTTCTGTGAGGAAGAAAACCCAGCCCTGCGTCCAGGCTTCGCGCTTTTGCGCATGTGACCCGGGAATTAGGAACTAGTGACTAGTGCTTTCAAACAATGCCATTCCCAAACAGCTGGAAGCTATAGGAACAAATTACAGCTGTTACCACCAACATTGGAACTAAGGGAGTTGACGCCAAAGAACTCTAATGCTGAAACTGTTTGGTGTCTACGCTGGCATAATTTTTGCGTCAACTCCTTGAATTTCAATGTTGGTGGTAACGTTGGTAATTAAGTTATATTCCTGTAGCTTCCAGATGTTGGGGAACCGCATGTAAGCAAAAAAGGATTGAAATCGATTGACACCAATTCCCGGACCACGCGCAAAACCATGGGGATGTATGTCATGAGAAAATCCGAGGGATCGAAACGCCTTGTCACTGTTGCATTCATAGATGCTGAGCATCCAGGGCGGCCAGAGGACAGCAGGACAAGAGGAGGAAAACACGAGGAAGACACCCGGACACAGGGTTTGGGGGGCACAGCCAGAGACTGTGGCCAGTGTCTTTTGTCTTAAGAAAGAACCCTAACCGCCTACAGCTGGAATTGACGGTGCTGCTGGCCTTCTTGATCTCAGTGTCGTCATCACTGAAGCCTTCGAGCTCTTCTTCTTCGCGTTTTCGAACTTCACCCTTTTTCTTCTTCTTGTCCTCATGTATAGCTGTGAGAGTCAGCATGAGGAAAAAAAATGCGAAAGTCAAGAGCGGAAATGCTGAGATGGTTCTTGAATGGCTTCCTCACTTTGCATCACTGGGTCACTGGATTGCCAGCTTTTTCCTGATTCAGTCAGCTCCATGCGCCTCTACGCCAGAACTTGCTGCCGGCGCATAGGCGCGAAGTAGAAAAAGTGAGAAGCCAATCGTTGGATGACTTCATCCAACTGAGTGCTGAGTTTGTGCAGTGCTTCTACGGGATTCTTGGGACAGTCTGCGTCTGGGCACTCTACACATACAAGCAGGAAAGGGCAATCGTCAAGCTCCACATGCTTCGCGTACGCGAAGCAATCAATACTATGAAATCCAGCTTGATGAGTAAAAGCAAATTCGCCTGCAGGCAAAGGAGGTACTTGCCCTGCATCTACACCCTCAAACAAACATGCTCCAGCTCCTCCACCCCAGAGATTTCCAGCTGTATCACAGAAAGCCTTCCAGTCCTTGGCTTGACTGGAGGGTACCAGGACCTCTCGCAAGTCACTGCCAAGCTGGATGTACCGTGAGACTGTGAGGTCTCTGAAGCCTGCACTTCGGAGTGCAATGGGGCAGCCTTCAACTGTGGGTGCTGCGATGACAAAAGGAGTCCTCAAACTGTCGAGCTCACTGATGTCCACGTGCTTCACGGGGTCTTTCACTTGAAACATGTCAAGAGAGCATGGCGAGTTTGTGTAGCACTCCTCCCAGCTCTCATCTTCTGACATTGACCAAAACGATTGCTGCAAATCGGCATCACCACCACTAGCCTTGTCTGTTTCCACAAATGACTGCCGTGTATCCATCGAGCCCAGTAAGGCGCCGAAGTGGAATGTTTCAACTCCACTTCCTTTGCCTTTTTGGCCATCCGAGCTGCTCTTTTTACTGGCCATAGTGGAAGCCGTGCTACGGCTCCACACTGAACTTGTATCCGCTTCCGTCTTTCTAGTAGATGTCGGTTTGATGCCCTTTGCCAGCTCATCTTTCCACATCTTCTCAGCCACTCCATGCAAATCATTAGAGTAGGGATCCAGTTTTTCAAACATGGCGGGTCCAACTTTGCTTGACCAATCTTCACACATTCTTTGATATGCAAGCTCTTCGCGGGCTGCGTGCAATAGCTCTGCAGCACAGATATTTTGGGAGATATCCCGCTGCATGCCCACGTGGTATGACCAGCCTAAAACTGGATGAGTCTTCTTCTGCCAGGACATTTCATAAACGACAGGCTCTCCATCTTTCAGGGTCACAAAGAGCGACAGGAAGGTACCACTTTCTTTCTCACGGGTCTTTATCATGGCCTCCTCTGATGATTTGGCCATCCGCTCCATGCATTCAAATGCCGTCTCCTCTGATAGCCCCGCAGCTGCTGCGAAAGCTTGAAGGGCAGGGAGCGACTGGCACAGGAGGTCGCTCAACCTTCTGCCTTTGGAGTTCTCGCCAAAAAGCTCCTCAAAGCCTGCGCTACTGTGCTGAATGATAGCACCACCTGCCCTGGCATCACAAATGATGTAGCTTAGCTCTGTCTTCCGAGTTGGCGTGCTGCAACGTCCTCTGTCTTGGACTGTCTTCTGTCCGAGGAGTCCTGCCCCCCGGCCAACCGCAAGGCGCAGCATGCCAAGTGGCACTATATGACAAAAACCTATGGCCAAGTGCGCCCCAAGTCTGGGCGCCGGCGCACGGGCGGAGCTCTAATCTTCCAGTTCCTTTGGAACAGTTGCCTCAGAGCTTGCCAGGCATTGTCTATTGGGCCAAGGCTGGAGAACGCTACGATAAAAGTGAGTCGGAATCTTGCTTGCACAATTCTGTGCACGAAGTTCTCACAAAGTCATCAAATGTAAAGTAGAGGCTGATTGTGTGCTGGTCGGCTACGCTACATCTCTTGGTTTGCCTTTGGCTCAAACCAGTGTTATATAACTTCGTTTGCATAATCAAGCCTAAATTGCGATATCAATGTGCAAATTGCGTCCTTCATCTCCACTACAACTTCTGGAGGTGGTGGCAGTGGTGGAGCTGCATCCTCATCATCATCAGAATCTAAGACCTGAAGCGCGACACGTCTTCGAACTTCGAAGGTGAACCAAACAACCGACAAAGCTGAATCATAAAACAACCGACAAATCTAAATCATACCTCTGCACAACATCCTGTCTTGTCCTGGCTTGAAAAGGTTCAGAAAGCATCAAATTCATATGATACATATGTATTTTAAACTGGCTGCATTAGACTGAAGTCTTACACGCTGTCATGCTCCCAGACTTGATACACTGCTTTGGGTTTCGTCTGAGCTCACTACACTGATCGGGGCATACTTCCGAAACAGCTCAAAGTTGTCTGACTGCAGCCTTTGCATCCATACATTGCATGCGTGTGGAAAAGTCCAAATCCAGGTCTGCTTTTCAGGGCGAGGAGGTGATCATAATGAGAAGACCCGCATTTGCACCCAACATGCCAGAAATGTTGGTCAACTTAAACATAAGTCGTAAAACATACTGCTGCTGGCATGGCACCGTGGAATGTCTTCCAGGCCAAGGAACTGTTTCTGCTGCTTGGGACTGAAGAGATGGATGTGGCCACGGATAAGATTTAAGCAGTCCGTGGCAATGCTTCCCTGGACAAACTGCAAATCGAACGCATTAGGTTGCACTGGCAATATGAAGTGTTTCAATTGCACTATTCAAGCATGAACCCCTATCAAACTTTTCACAACTGATAGCCTGTCCACATTGGTGGTTTTCAAGGACTAGCTCGAGCAACCGCGGTTTCATTGCAGCAAGCACAAAGTGGCCTGTTGACCTTTTTTAAGACATCTTCGCAACTTCGGTTTATTGGAACTTCGCGCCTTGAGACCTTCAATAAATCTCCGGTGCGCTACCTGCCAAGTTCTCTCACAAATCGACCAGCGACCACCACATCTTCTACAAAATGGCGCTGAGGTTTTGCCAAGTTGCTACATTGTAGAGCGGGCTCGGCTTTATTCGGCCTTCTTTGGCTGCCTACATTTCAAGGCACGGCATGGAACTTTGATCACCATGGTTTGTTGATGTCGTTAGTGTCCAACCCTGCCTTGCAAGCCTTGTAAAGCCACCGGAGGCGGTCAATCGGTTTCTTGGGGAAAATTTCCTCCCACCTTTGCCGCGGGGGCGGCGGCGACTTTTATTTGTCACAATTGCACTTTCTGGCGCAGCTGCGCTGAAAGCCCTTTAAGCTGCTTTCTTGGGAAGGGGTTGTCGGTCAGTGGGCATAAATAAAGACTGACGACAGCATCCACTGTGGGCGCTCAACTCACCGTGTCTCTGAATTTGGTTGTATACTTTCAAGTTTGCAGCCCTGGACAGCCAAAAACCTGGTACAGTATGGGGCGTCACGAGCCGAGGAACCAGCCCAAGGCAATTCCAGGTGTTCGACAACAGTTTCATACTTTGGCAACGTTCACCTTAATTTTGGACGACCGTTGCACACTTCCACCTTGGTTTTCGACGACAGCTACACCAAGGATGCAACAGAGCCTACCAAGGACGCAAAGGAGTTGCATTTCATCCCACGGTTGAGGCTCGACATGCACGATCTTCGCACTCCGCAGAGGGTCGCATTTCGTGTCGTGAGCATCGACCGGACCAACCCACCGCCCTAAGAGAAGATTTATAGACATGGTCGTACAGGTGGATTTATAGGTGTCCTCACCTGTATCTAAACACCCGCATCCACATCACCTGTATCTCTACACCTGCATGCTGTTGATGATGGTGACAATGATGATGGTGACAATGATGATGGTAACGATGACGCTGTGGGTGTGCTGTTGCAGTTGCACAATTTTGTTCTCTACACCAGTGAGATGATGATGATGATGATCATCATCATGATGATGATGATGATCATGATGATGATCATGATGACGATGATGATGATGATGATAAGGGCCATTAGCTCTCAGGCCCCACCTTCCCCGCAGTGCCGCACTGCACGGACTACCAGAACGGTTCTTCATCTTGGAGGCAGGGTTCCTTGAGACCAAGCTGGCGTTCTCAAGGTCTTAGCACCGGGCTCAGAGTCCTAAGTCCCAGCCAGGGTGGGAATACAACTTCAGGCGCTCCTCTTCTTTGGACTGCTGTTGGTCTACATCCGGCACAACATAAGCACCCTCAACCCCAATGCACCGCGAGGGTTCTGGGTTTGCCACGAAACCCAGTGAAGCGACTCATGACTTCGCCTCCACAGCGCCTATTTCAACGCCTGGAAGACACGCAGCTCATTCCCAAGAAGAAATCCTATATTCGTGCACTCAAACGAGCCTCCATCGGCGCATCACCTGGGGAAACTTCTGGGTCGAATCGCGAAGATCATTCACCACCATTGAGGACCCTTCAGAACCCAGCGGCTGCCTGCCACATGAACTCTGTGGTCGGTTGGCTGGTCTGGAGTGCGGTGCACGCTGAAACTTCCCTGGGGCGTCTGGGGAACCTGCTGATGTGCCCTAAGGGCAATCATTGCTTTTATGGTTTGATGGGCAATGGACCACGTCTCCTGCCAACTGGCCAGAACCCTTTCCGCAACATGAGGTGACTGATTCTGCTCACCATATACTTCAACAACTCCACCCTCTTTTTCATTGCTGCTGTTGGGAATCTCGGCTGGCGCAAGGAGGCCTTTACAAGGTCGTGGACCAAGGTGCCCGGTGCCCCTTGACACTCTACATCTGCGGAAACAAAAGCCCGCAACACAATGACCTGCAGAGCGTGATCTCAACCTGGAGCATGGCCTCGTTTGGTTTGCCCGCTCTCATAGGGCCGGCGGACGTTACATGCATCCACATTGGTCGTTTTGACTCACGAGGGCGGAAGTCTCTTGCTCGCCCCACCTGGGAAACCAAGGTCTGGCTTCCTTTCTTTGTGAAAGACAAGCTGGAGCTCGACAACATCCCCTACCAGGCCAACGGGCTCTCTTACCACCTTGGCTCGAAAGGTGGCAGCGAGCACTACTGCGCGGCCATCCTGGGGGGTGGCAACTGGCGGGTCTATGCTGATGACATGGAGTCGCTGCTGTTCGGTGCACTGCCACTGGTGGCCCGAGAGAACTGCTGTCCTCTCTGGCTGAACTGCCAACCTCATGGGGGAGCGGCAGAGATCTCCAAGCCTGATGAAGAGTCTCCCATCCTTAAGGACCAGGATAAGGTGAACAATATCATCCATGATCTTCGATCAACGACAACTGGCATACTCAGTGGCTTCCTGCCATAGACCTTCTTGACACGAGCACTTTGATGGACAATCCCAGCTTGCGTCAGCGCCTGGTGAAAAAGTGCATCACGCGCGGCAGCAGACCTCAGGACCTTAACACTCACATGGCAGTGGCAAACTGCTCCTGGTGGGCAAGATCGAGCCAGCTAGCTGATCAATGTGCTGTGAGCTTTTGCATCTTGCGCGGACGTTTAAGCCCATGCAAGCGAAGGCAACGACATTGGCCCGCTTGCTTGACCACACCTTTTAGCTGATGAGCTGCGCAGGCCCTCCGGGGCACTAGGCGGACTATAAGGTCCACGCCATCATCGAGCTCGATGAGCGTATGAAAGAAAGAAAGAAAGAAAGAATGATGACGGTGATGATGATGATGATGATGATGATGATGATGATACGATGATGATACGATGATCATACGATGATGATGACGACGACGACGATGATGATGATGGTGGTGATGATGACTGATGATGACGGTAAGGGCCACTAGCTGCTCAGGCCCCTAAGCCCGCTTCGCCGCGGGGCTAGTGCACCAACGTGCTTCTTGCACCCATTGGGCAAGCAGAAGCATACGACCTCGATCCTGCACACCCTCGAGTACCGGAACTTCATCCAAGACCCTGCAGGACACAGAGGTTGTGATCTCTCCAAAGTTGAGCTCGACGGTGGCACGGGCTGGCACTTCGTCTTCAGGTTCACTGAGATAATTGGCCTCCTCTTCCGGCTCCTTTCGCCGGCCCAGATCTACCAAAACTGCTCAGTCTACCAAGCGCTGGCGACCATGGGTTTTGAGCTCGCGCACGCTCGCGCTCAGCACCACTCAGGCGAAAGAGCGCTAGCCGCTGGCCAGCGTCCCGAATTCAAGGGACTGATACTTCCTTCAAGGTCTACCCAAGCGCAACGCGGTAGCCCGCCAGACCGTCCTTGCGCCTTGCTGTGGGTGTAGGCGAAGTTGTCGTCACTCCAATCTCCACTAAAGCCCCAGCAAGTTTCTTGGATGGCGGATGGCAAGCAGGTCGAGAGGTTGTTGCTGCGTCCAGGATTTGAGGATGTCAAGCTTGTAGGAGCACAGAACACCAATCTTGCAGCTGAGGCCACTGAAGCGGTTTGGTCGAACTTTGGATTAAGGGCTTCTGTTCTGCGACTCCTTGACTGAAGTCGCGCCAAACATGGAAGCAGTGTAGAGATGTCCCCTGTACCACGTCAGTCACGTTTGAGAGCACGAAGATAGGATTTCTTTTTTGGCTTTGGTTGGTCATACTCAGGGCGTATATATGAAGGTCCAAGGCCACATGGCTTTGCCATAGCGCAGGCGGGTTTCAGGTCATTGAAGATGGCTTCACTGACTGGGAAGGGTTTCTCGGACAGAACAGGGCGTTGGCCTTGGAGATTTTCAAACTTTCACTGGACGCGCACGTGGATCTCGACATCCTGAACCTGGACTCTTTGGATCCACGCTTCAAAAACATTGCCTCCTTGCCCTCAACGCGTGGGACACCAATCTTGGCCCCACTTCCTTAGGAGGACGAGCCAATTGACTTCAGCCTGATCAGGCTCAAGACATGTGAACCCATCTACCTGGACGAACCACCGGCTAAGTTTGGTCGCCAAAAAAGGACCGCATCCTCATCGTGTTCAACACCCCCAACAAATGGAGAGCTTTGAAAGGACCAGCCGTTGGCCTTTCCTCGTTCCAAAAAGGTTGACTTCTTCACCTTTGGGAAGCTGGTAGCAACTACTACTGGGCAGCCTGGTTGCAACAACTTGCTCACGACCTTCAGTACATGGACCTTGCAAAACAGTTCAAAAAGGGCTGCGGGTGTTCTTTTCCCATTTTTGTGTTCTTTGTTCCCGTGGTGTTTCCTTTCCTGGAATGGTGTTTTCTGTACTTTTCTGTTCCCACAGGTGTTTTCTGTCCCTGCCAGTGGGGTTGAAATGTTACCACTTTCCAGATTTACGTTCCCGCGAGAGAGTTTTCTGTGTCCAGCACTGTTTTCCGTTCCCGTAAGGGTGTTTTCTGTTCCCGCCGTGTTTGCGATAAGAAAGTCGAGTAGAATGGCTTTCCGCGCGGCGCCGGTGAGCTTAGTGTGTGTGTGTGTGTGTGTGCGCGCGCGTGTCTCTTCGACGACTATCAGGACCAGACAGACAATGACAATGAAGTACGATTATGATTTTGACGCCTGCTACTGCTACTACTGCTACTACTCCTCCTCCTACTACTACTATTACTACTACTATTACATCCCCCTTCGTACCGACCGCTAAGGTAGATCCTACTGAACCAAGGTGACTTTGTATTTTTTCATTGGTTCCCTAGCCTTTTTTCCCATTTTCCCAACGGGGGCTTTTTGTAAAATCCTTTGGACCGACGTGTGTTCAGGGGGTTGGGAACCAAGGAAAAAACAAGGAGTCCAGGCTGATCAAACGTTTAGTAAAATCCTGGGTATCTACCTAAGCTGATCCCTCAAGCAGCGAGCGTGCTTTTTCAAGCAGCGAGTTGAGCTCACACGATGTGTGGATGAGATCCCTGTGCAATCTCTGGAAGGAGCTTGAGCCAGGGAGCACGTGACGTGTTTGCAAAGACATGGCCCGAATTCTCTGTCAGCTACCACTCCAAAAAATGCGACTGTACCATTGTTCACATTTAAAAACAATTGGTTACATGGCCCCATACGCAAGCCATCATTTGATTAAATTGATTGCAATCTTATGTTGTATATACAGCATGTGTATCTATCAGCCGAGCAGATAAATGCTGCAAAAAGCAAATGCACAAGCACAGCCACAGCAAAAAGCGTCCTCTCCAGTATCTCTAGAATATCTAAAGTCTTACCACAACCCCAGCATCTCTACCTTGTGAAATCCTACAATTTTAGTGAAATCCTGTAGT